AGCACAGCGCATGTAAGAGTTCAGCAGCGGCTCCAGAGCCAACTCTAATAAGTCCCCTTGTTTTACAGCTGATGGTGACAAGGTGCTTTTTTTAAAAAAAAAAAAAAAGTCAGAAGTTAAACAGGTGTCCTCAGAGAAGCTGAAGATTGAAATATTTCTCATGTGAGCGACTGTACACACATGGAAAGGAGGGTGCTTTGGTGGGTTTCTCAAAAGGCTGGCAACCTTTCCTTACAGGTCATAGGGAGCAGAGCTGCCTTCCTGTTTTTTTGCCTTGAATTTCATGGGTAAAACATGATATGGTTCTTGATGTTGAACTCTTAAGCACAGAGAGAATAAAGTCCTACAGGACTAGGTTTCCCCAGGCTAAGAGGGGGCAGCACCTTTTAAAAGCTTGGATAAACCAGATATGCTTCTGTACTACTTCAATTGTTTCCATCTATAAGCAGAGATCCAGAGGCTATTTGATATCCATGAAGTGTTTGCCTGTGGACTTTTTGTCTGAGAGGTCACTTTGCAGTTGCCAGTAAATAATAAGGCAGAAGCAACTTCTGGAACACTGTTGACAGATTACAGGGAAATCAGGAGGAAATATTAAGTAGGAAATTATTAGTTGGTGAAGGGAGGGAAAAAGAAGGAATCTTTTCCTTTCAGTGTGTTCGTTTCTTGAATTTAACACAGCGAACCTGAAATACTCTATTTCCTTTAAACTCTGCTTTTCCTTTTCTTTTTATTTGCTTTCATCTAGAGTGTGAAATTCCAAGTCATTGTGGAAAAACTGCCTTAGGAATATTCTTGGCAGTATTGCAAGCAGAAAGTACAGGAAACCTCACAAAAGAGTTTGTTCCAGTAACACTGCCATCCACATTTCACAGCTGCAAAGACATTCAAAGCAAATCCAAACCCCATCTTTTCTTTTTTAAAGAACCTTGCTGAGGTGGAAGTACCTGGGACTTGAGTTACTCCACAATCACAACCCACTGAAATAAAGGGGGGAAAAATTAATCCATGGGAAAAGTTTCACAAACCAAAAAATGGAGCAAGAGCAGGAAAAGGAAAGGAAGGTAAAGGGGAAAGATTGTTAAGGACAAACATTTCTCTACTGTCTATTGTAGCTACATATGGCAAACATTTGGAATTGAAGAGCCAGCGTGTGATGATTGTTAGAAAGAGGAAGGCAGTGTTGTTTCTGATATTTGTTTCCAGTGCTACCACTGTGTCAGTTCCAGTGAGCCAGTGAAGTTTTGTTAGTATGTGCTTTCAGTAACTGGTCATAGGTTAACTTTCTGAAAGCATATTTAAGTGAAAAAAGAGAGTGTACACAGTTATGGGGGAACTAACTATACTCTTACAGGTAGCCTAATGTAGCTTCTAAGCTTTACTGCACAGGCATACTGGCTTCACCAGTGGCTGAAATAAAGTCTATTACTGGTACAGGATCTTAAATATCATCAAGCTCTGCACTCCACCTAGAATTCTGTGAGATGGAAGAGGTGCTGATCACCCCACTTTGAGAAGGAGATTTTTCCTCCAGAGAAGACACAGCAGAGGAGATGTAAGGCTGTGCTGTGAAGACCCGACTGTCTCTTGAAGAGGTCAAGCCAGGTTGCTTTACCACTAAAATACAGAGCCTTTGGTGCTGAAGTTACATCAGAATTTAAAGGGAATAAATGTGATTCAGAACTTTACTTTTAGATTCTTTTCCTTTTAGGCAGTAGATGTGTTATTTATTGGTATTACTAAATTTTCTCAATTCTCTACTGGAACTGACAGATCTCTTTTTCTAATCCTGGCAACTGTAGTAACCACGTAAACCTGAACTTACTATTTGACCCACTTGCGTTCATTTAGACATCATCAGAGAGGTCTCCTACAGCTTAAAAAAAATATGTGTATCTATTAAAATATATAGCAGTGTGATTGTATGTGTAAACAGTGAGGCATATCAGAAACTAGTTTATTGGTAATTTTATCAGTACTTTTTATGCAGAAGTCTGACTATGTATCTAATACATAATATTGGAATAATACAGATTTCGCTAGGCAAATTAAGTGCTGAGAAAAATTTCTGTGAAGAAGCAAAGATATGGTTCAATGAATTAGAACGCCCTATGACTAGCCAGAACAAAGCAGTAAATGGTCAGATGCTAGGCTCTCGCATTTATTGTAAATAAAGTGTAATCTCTAGGAATGACTGCTTCTGGGCTCAAGCCTAACTGGCACAGGGTTCAGTAATTAAAAAGCTGGCCTCATATTAAGAATGTATCATGTACAGAAATGTAATTTTGGTAGAGTTCTGTTCCAACTTTTTAGGATACAGCACCAACTCCAAAAAGGCATTCAGGAGCCTATCTGTATTTTGTGATGCCTCAGCTCCAGCTCAATTTAGAGAGAAGTTAACTAATAGCATTTAATTATAGCTGTGCCAAAGGCTTGTGTCAAACGATGTAGGTAAGTCAAAATGGAATAAGTCAATTAATATGCTTTTGTGACAACATTTCCAAATATATTAAACCTAAGAATGTATCTATATGTATTATTAAGGTAGTATATGAATAGGGGATATACTTTTCTTGCAACAAATGACTTTCAAATAGAAAATAGCAACCTTGTAGAAGGGGAAAGCATTAACAAATGATTGCAGTAAATAAACCTCTTTAAAATTTTTCCTGATTGTGCTGACCTTTTCTTTTTCTCATTTTGCTGATCTGCGTTTTTATGAGATACCATTTGAATTGGGTGTAAAATGAAAAATAATAACCCCCCAAGTCTTTCAGAATAATTTAAGTGAAGCCAGATGACAGTTGGGAGATAGCTATGCTGAAACGACAGTATTCACTATTAAAGAAATTCATATACAGAAATAATAGTATATAAATATATATAAAGATAAAATAAAAATGTATCTAGAAATAATATATAGCAAGCTATATACAGCACAAGGGAAAACACTGGGGAGGGATAGTATATTTTTTCCCAGCTGTTACATTATCTTCCAAAAGAAGTCACATACACACATTGTAGTAAAATTGACACATGGAAATAAAAAGGTTCTGTAAAAATGTCAGCATTCAAGGAAAATTATTTCTTGTCCAGTGCATGCACACACACACATATCACCAACAGGCAACTTTTGTTGTTAATAGGAGTTTTCCTTGCATTTAAAAAAAAAAAAAGTACGAATTCTTTAAATCATGCCATATTGGTCAAGCTGTTACAGAAAGAAAGGATTATTCTGTATAGTTGTATTTTATACACCTGAGCTGATACTGCAAGGAAAAGAAGTACATTTATGTGTTAGGTTAAAATAGTAAACATGCAATGCCTCTGCCCTTTTCTTACTCATTTAACTTCAGAACCAAATTTTATTCTTTCTCTGTAATATCTGTGCCAGGTACTACAGGGCAAGATGCAAGAACCTACCTGTAGCTTCCCACACGCACTCTTGCCATAGGTTGGAAGTTATGTATTGGCCTAAATCACTGTTCATGGCATTTTGTATGATAAAACCTCAATAATCTTGATGTCTTTATAAATGTCTAGCCCTTCCTTGTCAGTTTTGCTAAGCTGCTGGATTTGGTGACTTTTGGTAGCATTGAGGTCCACAGTTCAGTTACTATGGAGAGGTATTTTTGTGTCAGTCCTGGTGTTCACACCTTCAATTTAATTGAATACTATCGTGTTCCTAGGTTGTGAGGTGCAGAGGCAGAAGCTTCTGAGTCACCTTCTTTATTTGATTTACTTGAACATATCTCTTCAGAAAGCAGAACCTTCATCTTTTCTGTCCTTGGTCATACCAGAGGTTTTACAGACCCATAATCACTTTTGTTCTCTTAATCATTCTGCTTCTGCAGCACACTATGAGGTACTGACTGCTGTACAGAGCAGCTGCAGAGGGCTGTGTTGTTGCTTCAGACAAAGGAATCAGAACTTTGCTCTTTTTATTCACTTATTTCTCATGCATCCTACCATCTTGCCAATGCTTTATTCACAGCTGCACATTTTTTAGAGACTTCAGTGAAGTTTCTTGTGAAGTATGAATGAAGTATATAAAATGGTAAACCGTTTAAAAAGAGATATAATTTATTAAAGATATTAATGATAAAGAGACCTTTCACCTTTTTTTGCACCCAGAGTGATTATAATATTGCAAAGAGTTAATGCAGGCTTTCATCTTTTGCTAAGGTTTTACTTTTTTGTGCATCTTTTTCCTTGTTTTCCTTGTGTTTAAAAGAAATCATCTGTGCAGACAATGAACAATAGTGGTGTAATTACTGAAAACCCAAACTAAACTGTAGACAGTAGAAGGAGAGTACTGTCTGGAGGTAGAGGGTATAGTTAGGACTTATTATATGCGTCTGGGCTATTTACTTTTGTTTTAAGAAACTGCTTAAGTGTCATTTTCAGTCACTTTACACACACACGCACACACACACACACACACAGAGTATGCTAGAGATTGGAAGGGACCTCAAAAGATCATCCAGTCCAATCCCCCTGCCGGAGCAGGAACACCTAGGTAAGTTTACACAGGAATGTATCCAGGTGGGGTTTGAATGTCTCCAGAGAAGGAGACTCCACAACCTCCCTGGGCAGCCTGTTCCAGTGTTCTGTCACCCTCACTGAGAAGAAGTTTCTTCTCAAGTTTAAGTGGAACCTCTTGTGTTACTGGCATGCTTGATTTGCATACGTATTCTCATGTTAGTGGTTGTACAAAATTATAGAGAGGTGAAAAACATGCCTGACAATTTCCTAACTATAGGAATGGTTTGTTATATACCATTTATGTTGCTGTGACTTTAAAACCAATAGCTAGCTGCACCTCCTGTGAATCCTGTTGGTTGGTAATTGTGACTTCCCACTTCAGGTCTAAACCAAAGTCTTAGCAGAGTGGGTGGAAAGAAATAGGTACAAAGTGAAAACAGCATCCTAATGCAGCAAAAGGTCCAGGCAGTGAGGCAGGATTTGGTATTATTAAATGTGATGGCCAAGGGAATGAGTTGTAATAGGCAAAAATTAACACGTATTTGCATCCACCACATACAGTAAACGTCATATAATATTGCTTTCATATGCCACATCTAATCAGGTGTTTTTCCTGGGAATGTATGGGAGTTGTAAGTTGGGAGTGGTGATGGTTTTCAAAGGTCACTCATTGTTAAGAGAAGTGTTTGGAAAAAGTTGGTCTATTCAGTTGAAATGCAGAGAAATTTCTAGGCAGGTGAGGTGTAGAGGCACTCATAAGACTGTAAACTCAGATTCTGCATTAACAAAATCTTACAAGACTTCTGTTTAATAGGTACATCATGGCCAAAAGGCAGTTTTACATCTTTAAAAGATGACATTCTGCTTTCCTACAGCAATACCTTAGCACCGCACATGAGCAGGTTCTTCCTGCTACCTTAGAAAGCTATTTTACCTACTGCAAACATGAAAACCCTTGGAAACAAACAGAGCTACAAATGAGTTCTGCAGATGTTGGATTAGGTACAAAATGATGTGACTTGACATGGTTACCCATATGCTTACACAAAAACTGCACAGACGTCTCTTCAGAAACTCTCCCCTGTAAAACCTTCCAAAATCTCCATTATTGCTCAGTCCATACTGATACTTTCTGTAGAAGGAGTGGATTTTTTTTCATAAATTGGCTGGAATCATCATAATGACTCTCAGCATGCAATAATATTTTCCCCTTGGAGTTTGGAGAGTAAGAGTTAGGAGAGCTCAAATCCTGTATTATTCTGGGCAGCTGTAGAGGAAAGTATTTTACGTTTGATCAAGAGAAATTACTTGAGTGTGTATTTTAGATTGAAAGTGTTCACAAAACCAAAGTGATCTAAATTGAAACTATCATAGTTGCTCACAAGATTTTATAGAAGGGACAAACCTATTACTAAAAAGTATGGACACCCTCACCTTCCACCCCTTGTTTACTATCTTTGCACTTCTTACAGGAAACTGATTAGTATACTTTTTATTTCTAGGAAGTGAATCAAGCCCTTGTTTAATTCACGTAGGGATCCGAATACTGTGACTGCACTGTTATCTATCAAATTTCAGTGGAACAGCTATTGAGTTTATGTAAACTGTCCAGGTAACCCTTAGGTTAGGCATTCTGGTTTTTATAGTTATTTTTCATTGGTAGCTGAGTTGTTAAAGCCTAAAGGGAAGCCCTGCATGTTGCAATAGAGACAGCATTCAAAAATACTTCCAGTCAAGAATAATGTAAAAAGAGGACAAGGGAAAGATAATATACACTATCAAAAATGTAAAAACCTTACTACCTTTAGAGAAAGGAAGAGATAATGTATATACAAGTGGTGCCTTAAACTCTCATTTATTGCTTTGATTTCTACATTAAAATAAAGGACATACCTAAGTACTGCTTTTACTGAAACTTAGGGATATGGGTATCTTCATTCATGTTAGAGGCTGAGAATATTGTCTAGGGTTGCAGTATAAATGTGCTGCATTCACAACAATTACAAAACTGCGATGCTTTTCCTTCTAGCACGGAGTGATCCTGGAGAAGTACTTTCTCCATTTTTAACACAGCTTATATTTTCTTTTGATTCCTGTAATAGGAAACACAGCAATGATGTTTATCTCCTGAACATGACACAGCAAATGGTAAAAGCAAACATCCATGGCTATGGAAATATTATCCTACCTGAAACAACAGTCATTTATGTTCTGTGACTCAGTGTTTAATTTATCCTTACCCCAAGCAGGCAATTGCATTCGTTCCACTAGAGACTGACTAGGTGGTTTGCATTTCTGGTGCTTTTACTTTATCTCCTCTACAAACAAGCAGCAAATTTCAGCACCTGTTACAGGCCTTCCATTATTTACACAAAAAGGAAAGGAGAAAAGGAAGAGGGAGATATTTGCAAAGCGCGGGGGAGGGGGGGATAAAATTGAAGCTGTAGGGCAAGTAATTGCACTTTTCTGAGTAGAGCACTTCAGATGTGTCATAAATGGGGTCAAATAAAACTAAATGTTATGAACCATACTAAATACGATGTGTTCTGTAATTTTATGGTTTAATCTCTTTGGTTCTTTCTGGGAAGTACCCCATATTGTCATGATTATTACTATTGATTATACCACGACTGTTACCATTGATACCATGATTATTACCGGTGACAGCTGTCATTTGTTGCTAGCTCCTCCCAAAGTGCTGAAGGTGATCAGATAAACAAGCATGCTCCCCTGCTATTACCATTTCTCACTTGCTCTGTTGCGTGGTTCCCTTTCTGCCAGAATGCTCTTCTCTGACCACCATACTCCAGTATTAAATTAGGAAATTGATTAAATAAGGAAATGCCACTTCTATGCATGAAATCTTTATAGACAATGAAGTATTGACTCATTGATATGTTTTTACTTTAAAATATATACATTGAAGAATTGTAAACATCTGCTCTCTTAAATATCATAAGTATTTTCCTCCAGAAGCCTTTGCAACTTTTCTGTAGAAAGATCCCTGTGTCAGATGGGGAATGCCTATAGACCAGTTATATTTTAGATAAAATAATAATGCTTAATTTTTTTATAATCCATCATCAATCTGTCACTTTAAAAATAATAAATTAAATTAATTATTCTCATATTGATTCCGCTTTGCCAGATTCATTAGATTATCCCTGTATAACCCCCCCAAACACCTGTCTGGGTAAAACTCGGCAGGAAAATGCACTGCCTCCACCAAATGACTAATTTATATTTCATTGTTTTAGGAGGTATCCTCTGTAAATGTTTAATAGATGATGTATATATCTAGATGAATATGGAAACAGAAAACTTACAAGAACCTGGATTGCAAACTTCCATGGTTCCTGAGAAGATGAACATTTTTAATCAGAAGGGAATTAGCAGCTCACTCCTAGCACCAGGTGATCAGAGTTTTACAAATTATGAGTAACTCTAAAAGTACTAACAGCTGTCCAAATACCTACCATTAACAAAAAGCATGAATTAGTAAATACGTGCGAACAAGATTGCAGCAGTGGTTCACCTGTATTCTTGCAAATGACTCTTACCAGTCACATCCAACAGCATTAGGCACAAGTTCTATTATGTGAATTAAAATTGTATTTTTATTTCATAATGTAGAACAGAGGAGGGGGTTATATATTTCTTCCATGCTTCTAGTATTTGACAGCAAAATCTTTGACTATTTGTTGGCTGTTCCTTTACATTTCAGTTGCTTTGGAGAAATCAAGTGTGCTTCAAGCTTCTTGTTTACATCAAGGATGAAGACAGCTACAAAGTAAGTACAGCCATAGTAACACACAGTGTAGTGACTCAGGAAGAATTTCATGTGGTAATTGATATGAAATGTAAATATTAAGCTTTTAAGCATACAGGGGCCATCAAAATTATTTTTACTGGAGTGTAAACTGTTGAAAAGCTAAATCTCTTAAGGGAACCATGTAAATTTGCATTGCAATAGCCTGTTTCCTGAGGTCTCCTTAGGGAGCATAGAGGATTTATAAGAAGGCTGTATTTTTTGTAGTTACACCACCTTTACTAGCTGCACAAAATCCCTTCTTGAATAGCTATGTTCCATAAAAGCAATCACAGAAAATTCTGAGATTCTTATTTTCATTTCCTTTAACAGTTCTGTAGACACAACTTCTCTTTAGCAAGTAACCAGAGCTTGCAGTGCTAGAGAACACTGTCAATGAGCCTGCATGTTTATTTATACTGAGGATATATGGAAAATGCTGTTATGTTTTCATGCATGCTGTATGCTACTCAATTGCAAAAATCTGTGTAATTTTATAAGAATTATTAAAAAGTGCATAAGAATACTTATTTGTTCTGCATGTGTTGGGTGGAACACACGAAGGGAAATACTGGAAGTCTTCAGGGCAAACACTTTTTGAGGAGGGACTGGCTACATAAGACCGTGCAGACCAGAGATTTAATTTCTGCTCTTTCCAAGTAACGTGGTACTCTTATCAATACAGGAAACAAGGTGTTTTCTTTCAAAGCAACTACACAGTAAGAGAGAGCAAAACCTGACCTCACTTGTCAGTCACAGCATTGAGATGAACTGCAGTTCTGACCTATTGCTCCACAGTTACAATTATCTGCTGTAATGGTACCACTTTGAGGTTTAGAGAAGTTAACTTCTTTCTGGTTATAGACCTTGTTACTTCAGGGGTAAGCCAGCATGAAGATTGAATGAATGCATGTGAATGAGCAACGACAATGTATGTGATCAAGTCATCATAATAAATTCGAAATTTTTATTTGAATGGGTTTATATATAATTTTATATTTTGTTTATAAGTTTTCTTTATGTACACATTTACATGTGTGTATGTATATATGTAGTTAAAATTAATTCTATACCCATATGTGTCCACACACACAAAGAATGATCTAAACTGAGGCCATATGGGGAGGGACTTAGGGTTTTTTCATTTCTTTGGCAGACTACATTTTGGTGAGATATGATCAGCCTTTCTATGCACCATGGGAACAATAAATCTAGAAGTATTTAAGAAATCAAGTTCTTACATGGTCAGAACCAAACCTCTTGGGGATAGAAGGTAACATAGCTGCCTGTTAAGTCAATTTAATACTTGCTGAAATCAGTGGTGGGAAAGGCAATTACATTACATGAGGGTCTGGTAATTATAATTTGTTTTTCTTTTATTAACGGTTATCTGACAATACAAATGAAACTTTTTTCCCCATAGTTTTATATTTGCCTATGTCATCAAAATGAGTAGAAAAATATATTCTTATGCTTTTCTGAATTAAATTTACGTTTTCCTTAGTAAATTTTCAGCCTTCAGAACATATCATCTTCATTTTACCACTCAGGATACTGTTAGCAGTATTCCTACCAACACTACACTGGTAACAAACATTGATCCCTGACAAACCAAGTCACACAGAAATCATTAATTAGGTTCCCGCAAAGTACAGGATTAGCTCTAAACCCAAGTTTTCAAGAAAATAAAACAAACAAACAAAACAAAACAAACAAAGCCTAGAAAACCAACTCATAAACCCTTCATTCACCCACTGCTTTCTAGCACATTTTAAGCTATTCTCCCATCTGTAAATGTAAAGATGTAAAAACACTTCACAAAGATGTGAAACACTTCACGAGTCTTATGCAGTCATATGCTAACTGCTATAAATGTCAATCTCCAATTTAAAGAACAGTACATAGACCACCCAGGCCATTTGTTTCACATAGGTTGGACTTACTCTGTTCAATCTTCCTATTTTTGTCTGCCTTTGGTTTAATGGAAAATCATTCCCTTTTTGATCACAGATCTATCTATACAAGGTGATTAAAAAAATATATATAAATAAAAGTGTTTTGGATCTTGGTTTTACTCTGTTGCCTTTCATCCCTGCCAGTAAGATGCTACAAGCACCTTCCACAGAATACATTAATTTTAAAGAGAGAAAGCCTTGCAGTGGTTGCAGAAGGCTGAGTTCAAGCAAGGATAAGAAAGTAAACTACAACTTGATTTCCTCTTAGCAAGAGGCCTCATTTGGTTTTGGATTCCTATGTGAAGTCATTCAGTTTGGCTGCAAGGGGAATGGTGCTCTGTGCAGTTTTCAGAAAGGCATTTATAGCTCCATCCCTGGAGGGCTGACATGCAGGCAAAGCATCTGCTAGCATCAACTGAATATGCAGAGGAGAATACAAGTATTTGGAGGAGCATGAGCATGAAATTTTGCCAATGAAGCTGAGATAGATAGATAGATGAAAAATTGCTGCTGTTACTTAAATTACTTACACAAATTTAAAATCTTTTCCTGTCCTTTTCCATCAAGGTAGCAAGAAGAGATTCGGATTCCACCAATGAAAGTTTTGGAACAGAAGTGAACAGAAGATATTGTTGTGATTTGCTCAAAAATGAGACAGAACATTTTCATTACTCCTTAGGGACATCTTTTGAGAACATGCAAAAGGTGGATGCATTTGAAGTGATAAGAAAGTTTTGTTATAAAAATGAGAACGTGCACTAAAATCTCCAACACTAACTATAAGACAAATATTTTCCTTGTTCTTAAAACAACTCAGCAAATATATCAGAAAAGGCAGATGAATAATCTATTCACTCTTGGTTCTCATCTCTCCAGGGAATTTCAGGTACTCATTAAATCCTGTGGCTGGTAGCATAGCAATATAATTTTCTTCTTTCTATCTACATAAAATTCTTCTGTGATGGCAAGATAGGTATGCTGTCTTCCACTATACAATCAATTACATAGTTATCATGGTTACTATCATAATAACTTTGCTTCCTAATAAAATACATAGTTAGTTGAAAGTTCAAGACAATTTATAAATATTCCAGTGTTTAACTATTACTCAATATATATTCAAGTAAAATTCCTAATAATATCAACAGGGATCTGGATATAGACTAAAAATTCTGAAGCTGGTTCTAAAGATTTTGTGACGGATAACAATTTCAGTTAGAGGAAGCCCATATTTAACCCTATTATCTAGTTGGACTAAACCTTATCAGAGAATAAACCAGACTGTACTGTCAGTCACTGTATAGACGGTGTTGGTTCCAGCTGAGCACAGTGTATTACTCCTTGTGTGTACTCAGAATCAAACACAGATATCAAAACAAAGGTTGTGGTGAAATTTATAGCAACAAGAAACATATTTCTAAGTTTCAGTCCTCCAGAACTATCACCCATGTCAGAATCAAACAGGGTCTGAGCTAAATTTCACCTATCATTTCCTGTCTGCTACAAACAGTACTTTTAAAGTATGTTATAAAGGATAACTTATATCAACAGCAATGTAATAATTTAATAGAGACAGAAATATACGTATATCAATTTGTATACATGTAATATAAATACTAATTATCTCTTACATGATGTAATGTTTAGTATTAGGTAATGTTTTTAGACTACACCTAAAATCTTGGATTATGAAGTGCATCCCATTGACATTTTTAGCTGTTTACCTCATCTTTCTAAACCAGAACCCTTTGCTACATGGAAATTATAGTAGCCATAATTTCCTCCTAAGAAAAAAACAAGAACACTATTTTTACAATGTAGCTTAACTTTGTTCCTTGTGATTAAAAACTTACAGTAACTTACAGATTGTATTTTGAGATCACTACATCTTAAAGACAAAAGCAGATGAACTTTATAAAGTAGATAACAGTTTGTCAGTTTTGAACTGTATTCAGAGAGTGAAATTTTGACCAAAACAGGGGAAAAAAATTTGCTTTTGTCTATAAAACTGGTCAGGTTTTAAATGCTGATTAAAAGCAAATATGTTTAAAATCTGAAGCATATGTCAAGCTCTCCCCCCTTCTCACCTTTTCCCTGCTAGCTCAAATAGTAATTTTGGAAGAAGAGGAAATAAAATTTTTCTTCACCATCTATCATTTGACATTTGCAAAAAGTCACTCTTTGACCACTAATGAGAGAGTTAGCAGCATCTAGGCTGTAAATCGTTTGTTCATTTTTAAAGGCAAAACAGATAATGCCCTGTGTAGAAATGGCCACATCACCTGAGATACAGAGCCTCATCCAAGCATTTAAATACAAAACAGATGGAGGAAAGCTTTCAAGGGAATATCTGCAGGGGAAAAAATTGCTGTGAAATACAAGGGAAGAAAACTCTGCCAAGCTCAACAGGACCAGACAGTTAATGACCCAAGGATTATCTTTTCCAAAACTAAATGGAAAAGACAACTACAAAGAAAGATGCTCTCCTTTCACAAACATCTAATGCAGAAATAACATATACTAACATGGGATTATCCCTGAAAGATTAAACTGAAGGGATTTCCCATCCTAGTGTCAACTTTCTAAGGACCAGGTTTAGAAAAAGTATCCCAAAAGTGACTTGACAACTTCACAGAATAAGGATAAAATAAATAAAAACAAAACCA